TAGAAATTATAAGGCCATTTTTCAGGAATTCAGTGAAAACAACCTGTAGGTGTTTGATATGCTCAGTCTCAGTTTTGCTGAAGACGAGAATATCATCTATGTAAACTAAGACAAAATCAGAATATTTTTTGAATATCTGATCCATCTTTCTTTGGAATATTGAAGGTGCATTTTTCAATCCAAACGGCATGACTTGCCATTCAAAATGTCCTTCGGGACAAGTGAAGGCGGTCCATGGGATGGGTTTGTTTTTCCATTTTGATTTGCCAGAAACCAGACTTACAATCAAACTTGCTAAAAATTTTTGAATTTTGAATGCAGTTGATTAGTTGGTCTTTATCTGGTATTCTGTATGCATCTTCATAAGTGTTATCATTTAGCCTTTTATAGTTTATGACCATCCTAGCCTTTCCTCGTTTGATTTCTGCATGATTTCTTACCATGAATGCTGCAGAGGAATGTCTAGAACTGGAATGCTTTATGACTCCTAAGGCTAAAAGTTCTTTTATTTGAACATCAAATTCTTGCCTGTCGAGTGGACTGTGATCCATCTTGCCACAAGTAATTCTAAGTTCAGGATTTATTATATCTAGATTTGCTGTACATTTATTTCGATCCCAATATTTGATCGGGTCTTCTCCTAAGACTTGAGTTTCATCAGCTATTCTGATTAACTCATCCAAGTTCATTTTTTTGTAATTTCTATTTTTTCTTTTGTTTTCTTCTTTCTAAAAGTTTGAAAGAGTTTTTTCTATATTTACATGCACTACCTCTTCACTATTAACTAAGTTATCAAAAAACTGATAATCTATAGAATCTTCAAATATTTCCAAAGTCTCTTCTAAGAGATTTGGTGTATAATCAGATTCCAATAAATCATCAAAAAACTTTTCATCACTACTTAAATAATTGCTATTATACTCAAAATGCTTATTTAATTTATTTTGGATTTTTTGGGGTGCTTTTTCTTCTGGGTTTGGAAGATTCATGACATATCTATCCGTTGGGGTGTAACTAGTTCGTTTTGCAAACTGTATTCCATCAGAAGAAATTGTCATTTGGCCCTGGAAGTGAGTGATGAAGTTTAAGCCAATTATGAAGGGATAATTATTTCGGATATTATGTACAATTACTTGAGGTAAGATGTACTTTTCTCCAAAATTTCCTGATCCCCAGTCCCAGAAAGAAATTTTTGCATCCTTTAGACATTTGTCATATTTGAGTTGGGTTCCATCCATTTGAGTTCCATAAACAGCTTTCATTGTTGAGATTTGAGAACTCGGGATTTCTGTTTCAAGGATGTGAGATTTAGATGCTCCTGTATCAATCATTCCTAAGAATTCTTTTGTTTCTCCATTTTTGAAGGTGATTGAACACAGTATGCTGAGTAGGGTATTTGGATCTTTGGGATTTGTTGGAACATTAGCTGATAAAGTAGAGATTTGTTCTTCTTTATCCGCTGTAGGTTCATTAGCATCCTTTCCTTTGAGTGGAAGTTTTGCTAATTGGTTCTCCAGTTCTTTTGTTCTTTGGTGGAGAAATTCTATCTGTTCTTCTAATTGCAAGATGTACTCATCCTTTTCATTGAGTGTTTTGGTCATTGATTTCATTTCTTGCAATAGAGACAATTTTTCAACATCTCTGATTAATTGTTCTTCATTTGATGCAGGGATGTTTATTTGATTTACAGGTTTTGAAGGCTGTACCTGTTCAACCTCTTCTTTTAATTTTTTATGACAGAATATACAATATACTTTTGAGCATATTGTACATTTCAATTTTGTAGAAGGCTGTGTGTACCTAAGACAATCTAAACATTTTTCCCATTGTGGTGGTTGATTTGATTGCCATAAGTGTTTGCAGTCA